TTTTTACATCACATAGAACATCATCAAATGAGCATAAAAACAAAGTTTCATGCATTTTCATTAAGGAACTGATTTTTCATGATGAGCATAAAAACAAAGTTTCATGCATTTTCATTAAGGAACTGATTTTTCATGATTTTTACAAGTTTTTGCAGAAATAATCGATTAAGCATTTACCCAAGAAAATGGTTTCTAAAAATTATAAAATTTTAACACAAGAACAATACATATCAGAGAAACAACATATCTAAATATCAAAATTTTTGGACAATAATACAATTTATCTTGATTTTAACAAATTATTCCAGTCACATATATTTCAGAAATTCATAACTTGAAATATAAGACTCCAAATGACCCAAGGTCAAAACTATGATCATCAGAACACACATATGTTCTATATTCCAAGAGATTTCCACGATTCCAAATCAGATCATAAGGGTTTCATAATAAACTCCAAAGATCCAATACATTAAAATACATAAAATACCAATTCTTAACATTTTAAATCAAATAGTTCATATAATATCAGATGACCAGAAAATACACATATAAAACACATAGTATATATGGAGTTTAGTAAAATACCAAACACCAAAGGGAAGAAAGCGAACAAGGCACAATCACGAGCACGTGTTTCGGTCCTACGGGCGGGAAAATCGTCCGCTTGGCTCGCTCGGCGTCGAACGGCGGCTTGCACATCGAATATGATGTCCTTCGGTGGCTCGTGAACGTGGGACGAATGTCTAATATGCGAAGGTGGCAGCGGGTCATCTCAGGCTATCGAATCCAAGTGTATTCTAGCGATTATAAAGAATTGAGTCTTAAACCTAAGCTAAGTTAAGGTCGGCTCGAGTCACGACCCGAGCCACACCACAGAGCCTAACATTCATGCGCGATCTAGTAAAATAGTGCATCTCGTGGCTTAGCAACCGTACGCAGCCCAAGTGTGCCGCACCTCACCTTACTAGGCCCAAGTCATGGCCGAGCAACTCTTGTGCTGCTCGAGTGTACTAGTACATCCTTAGCTCATACCCTATTGCGCGCATCCCGCATCGCAGTCCAGGGCGTGACTCGCAGTGCAGACCAACATAGCCTAGTGTAGCCAGTGCACGGGCCAGTGCGCAGTCCAGTACAAAGCCCAGCACACAGCCCGTCAGCGTAGCCAGTGCGTGGCCTGCAGCGCAGACAGCGCGCGGCCCAGCGCCAGCAAGGCCCAACCGAGGCCCAAACAATTTTTAGACTTTTTTCTTCGATCAACTTGAGTTTGAACACGAGGATATGTCGGCCAAGGGTCAGATAAACCTCACCTTACCCTGCCTTGGCACCCTTACCAAGGAAGATAGAATGAGGTTGAAGAAGATGCCAAATTTGTATATTTTAAGGCAAATAACGAGAACCTCCTCATCATTATAAGTCTTACTCTGAAAATATATGCAGGGAACACCTAAATACTTAGAAAAGTTCGTCCAACCTCGAGAAAAATCCGACCAAAGTCCGGTGAGCCTCCTCCGAAACTTAAAACGCGAGCACGAGTCCATAGCAAGTAACATGTCATTCTCTTCAATTCTCTTGAGTCATATTAAAACCATAAGCTATATACAACCTAAGAAACATACTTAATCAGCCTTCATAGCTTTTCATCCGACTAAGCACCACCGTTGCTGAGGAGACCCCGAGGAGAGGCCAAGAGCTTCATTTCTTTCATTTTCGAACTTCGGTGAAGGTAAACACCTCTCCAACCTTTTTCCTACTTAAGCATAATATTTTAAGGGTTATCAAACATTGAAAGCGAGACATGCACGAGTTTATTGAAGGTTTTCAATTTTTAAGTTAATTATGGCCTAAATTCGGAAGTCATGTTTTTGTACGGGCCGTAGCCAAATTTAGTACTCCTAAAATCATTATAAATCAGGTTAAACAAGTTGGTAAAGTTTTAGCCTATTTGGAGGTCATGTACTCGATCAACTAGAAATTGAATATTTATGTTGTTTTTGGTCACCCGAGCCATGTCTTTATTCTTGCGAGTATTTGTCAAGTTTTTAGTACCCAAAGTCATGATATATAAAGGTAAGTGTTCGGCCTTAAGTCCTAGTTTAAAAAGAGATAAGTGCCTCGGTGACTTCGAACCCTATATTGCTTGATTGGACTCCCGAACCATTTTAAAATCTAGTCGAATCATCTCGAGGTTTTTATGTGTATTTAGACACCTTATATATTAAAGTATATGTTACGAATGAAGTTACCTAAAAAAAAGTCAGACGGCCTGCGAGGAGCCGACCGTGGACGCGGCCATGCACCCAGCGTGCGCCAGCGCTCGGCAGTGCGCACCTTCAGAGGTTAATTTACCACTGGGGGTGCGTTTGTTCAGAGGTTAACGACCTGCGCCCCCGGCACACGTTTGCCTTCTGCCCAGCTACTTCATGCGCCAGGCCTGTTCGCGGCCCAATGTCGTGCACGCCAGGCCCATTGGCCGCGGCAGTGGCCTAACAGCATGTGAGCTCTTTCCAATGCGGCTTTTTGGCCCGTTTTGTGTACCAAGAGCTTATTTTTCGTGTCGAGCCCATTTTAAAAATTATATAAATTGAGAAAAATCCGGGAAAAATTGTTTTAAGACCCGTGACCCATTTTCTTTCCCCGAGTGTTTTTCTTGTAAAATTTTTTAGTTCCAAATCCACGAAAATCCGATAAAAATTCTTAATCCTTAATTTTGATCAAGTGTGGGTTTTCGATAATTACTGAGTAGTGAGATAGGTTATTATTTATTATCTCTCTTAAATATAGGTGTTTGAGGAGTCGAGCCCGCTGCCTACCCTCATCTGAACGTTGTGTATCGTCTGCTTCGACTGATAAGGTGGGTGTTGATAAACCTTACCATGTATGTTATTCTTTATAATTGTTTGGCTTAATAGTCAATGTATGCATGTGAACTGTTAGTCTTTGTGAGGTTCTCACGATGGAGTTCCGATGTTTTCCTATTTTTGCTTATTGAGAGGTTTTTCCCGTGAATGGGCTTGTCCCGATAGTTTAGCTCCCGTGAATGGGCTGTGTCCCGACGGTTAGGGGTGTCCAGATGAGCGTAGGGCGGTATAGAAAGTAGGCTAGAAGATATGTGTTCATGTTGCGACTATGATTTTAAGTCATTATACTGAATAGACTGCATGGTATTCCCACGATGATTTAGTTGGTTTGCTCACCCCCACTATTTTCCCCCTCTCAGGTTGAGCTGGTAGCCGCGGCGAAAGACGAGCGAGGCGGGGTCATATTTGTTGCTTTTTATCCGTTATTGCTTCCGCATGTTAATTATTATTGTTATCAATAGCCAGACATGTTGAACTGTTGACTTTGGATATGGGATCATGTATATTGATTTTTCACATGCTTGGATTATGATTTGGATATTTTTTGAGATTATCATGATATATGTTTATTTGTCTGGTATAAATTATTGATCTGGGATGGTGGATTCTCAGTTGCTTAAGTTTGGACTTAAGCTGATTATTTGAGATAAGTTGAGTAATGCCCGTTGAATAATTTTTTTTTTGAAATTTTTACTTTGACTTTTGAAAAATATTCGGTAGTTTTCTTATAAAAATAACGGAGCGTTACAGAGTGGCTCATGTACCGACTCGGGTGATCGTGTGTTATGCCTATATGGTGTAAGGGAGGTCTTAATTTATTTGTACTTTTGCTTTTCGGTTTGTTACTCCAACTTCGTCTAGATCTAGTTTCCTATATGAAGTTTAAGTCTCCTTTATAGAATTTGTTTTGTAGTTGCAGTTGTCTACTTGATGGAGTTATTCTCTGAAATTTCTGAAATTCCGATGGGGTGGATCCAAGAATGTAAGTCCAAATTTTCTGATTCCTTATCACTCCCTGTGTATTCTTTCAAGGTTTAGAGTTATTAAAAAAAAAAGAAAAAAAAAGCAAGTTACTTTAGGTAGGCTCAAAAACCTGCCGAGCAACCTGCTTGATCTCCCCGGTTGGTGGGTTCTGACTTTTGGGTTTGGTTCGGGGGCGGGGTCCCGCCTCTTGTTAGGCCTTCGGCAGTTTCGGGGGTTGGGACTTGGCTAGGGGCCTTACCTTAAGTTGGTTGTAGCTGCTTGCTCGGTTTCGTCGGTTATCCGGGAGAGGGTCGTTTTAGTTTTAGTAGTTGTTTGTTTGGTTTGTTGCTTTGTAGATTGTCTTTTCTTAATTTGTTCAGTTTGTTTTCGTTTTCGGTTCAGAGATGATTGCAGACTAGGCATTGTGCAGTGGGTGTGTTTATCACTTTTCTTTATTTTTGTTTGTGGAGTTCTCTAGGCCGCCATGTGCGTGTCCTCTCAATTTCTTATTCTTGTTTGTTTAGTAGGGTGTTTTTGGTTTGGGCAGTTAGCTCCTGTCTCATTACCCTGTTGAGGTCTTAGATATTACCCTGTTGGGGCCTTAGATTACCCCGTTGGGGTCTTGTAATTTGTTCCTTTTACACTTTTGTGCTTTTTATATTACCTCTATCGTTCCGAAAAAA